CCTTGGGAAATTGGCACCACGATGCGTTTACCTTTGACACGCTTAAGAAATTTCTTCCTGCAGCCTTTGTTTTTTACTTAGCAATTTTCACTAGTACGAATCTTTTGCACCATGCTAATGTGGGTACATTCATAGTGTTCAGATCCCTTACACCCCTTCTGGTTGTAGTAGCTGATACTGTGTTCAGGAAGCAGCTTGGCTCGTGGATGGCTCAGGCTCGTCAAATGACGAGCTCGAGTAGGGGGCTCAATTCCACTAGCTGAGCCCACGAGTGGCTCGTGCGCTTATAAAAAATGTGCAAATTTACGAAAAATTAAAAAATCACGAGCTCACGAGCTGGTCGGCCCACGTGTCGTGGCTCGTGAGCTCACTAGCTCACGGGCCGAGTCGAGCTTGTCCCCGAACAACGAGCAGAGCTTGAGCTGAGCTTCTTTTCACAAGCCATGAGCTCGGCTTGCCACGCCACGAGCCCAAGCCGAGCTCGTGAGTTAAACTCGGCACATTGCTATCCCTAGTTGTGCTCTTCAAAATTGACATTCTTCTCCTTGGTGATCATTTTGAGTGGGATGGTTGGGTATGTTGTGACGTAATCTGACTTTACACTGACTGCATACTCATGGGCTTTTGCGCACTTGGTAATGATCACAACAGAGATGGTTTACATCAAACATATGGTGAACAATCTTAGGTTAAGCACTTGGGAATTTGTGTACTACAACAATCTTTTGTCATTAATGATTGCACCTATCTTTTGGATGACAACAAATATGTTGATGTTTTTGTAACTGTGGGATATTCAAGTGAAAGGAATTTATTTGAGCAGTTGTATTATCTGAGGTGTCCATGTCTTGTTTGTTTGGGTCGCTCACTAATTTCTTTGGTTTTGCATATAGGAAGGCTGTTTCTGCAACTGCATTTACAGTTCTAGAGTAGTGAATAAGTTTTTAATTGTTTCAATCAATGTGTTGATCTGGAATAAGCATGCTAGTCTATTTGGTTTGGTTTGTCTACTATTAACTCTTGCCAGAGGGGTTGTCTATCAATAGTCAGTTATTGGAGCTGGCAATGCTTCAAACTAGCGAGAGTCTGTAGCATTGAAGTAGATGGAAACTAAGAATGAAGATGATAATGGTTATGCAGAAAAGGATTAAGGAAAAGGCATTTTTGGTAAATTTTCTGGTGTATGAACATCTTTTCCTTACTTTGGCTACTGATGGAGAGGCTACATACTTAAATTTTCATGCGCGTGGCTAATGGTTATAATATTCCCATATAATTTCTTTGAATTTAGAAAAGTATTAAATAGTTTATTAGCTTAGCCTTTCTGCATTTGATGAACAATATGGAGATATGATCATATTTCCCCTAGTTATTCCATTCCATTCCTGGTTATGGATATGTATATTTCATAGGCTTTAACCAATAATATGCCTAACATGTTTTCCAAATGGATAGATTCTTTAGAACGGTCAATATTATCTTTATTATACATGCGATGGCCCTTCTCATCGGAGTTTAGTCATGGCTCAATGGTGTATGGAGAGTGATATTGATTTAGTTTAATTCTGATTTGTTGGACTCGTTTTGTGTCTCTCTTTTTAAAATTCCAAACTTCTTTTATTGTTGCATACTGCAATCTCTATTTAAAAGGACCTCTATTGCCAATGTTGTATGTGTCTTTCATCCGTTTCCTTTTTTTCTTAGGCTTTACTATAATTTTCGAGAAGCTTTTTATGAGTTTAATGAATGTGAATAAGCAAATTATTTGAATCATCGTAGCCATTATTGAGGTTATGGTTATTAAAAACATGGCACTCATATAGATGATAACTTTTGTGCTTAAAATAATGATGTAGCTCAACCTTGGATCATAGATGCCTCCTTGCTATCTTGAAAGGGCCTTAGAGGGTTAAGGACGTATGTTTGTTTCATCCAGTTCGTTTTATTTAAGCTTTTTCTAAGTTCTATAAAAGCTGAAATTGAATTGTTATTGAGCCATTGATTTGATTATATAAGTGATTAGTTATTCAAATGCAGTGCCTAAATAGGTATTAACTATTGTGCTTGAAATAATAAAGTATTGATATTGTTGAAGATTTTCTCGTTACCTCTTTGTTTTGGAAAGATTTTGAAAATAGAAGAAATGTAAACTGAACAATATATTAGAATGTCATAGACGATATCGAGCCTAAGGTCATTTAAACACAGTACTCAATGACTTTGTGATTGAACTTTTGACAATAGATGCCTTTTTACCATTGACGTTTTCTTTCAGTAACTTGGTATTGATCTTGTTGTGAAGATAGGGAATGGAATTGTACTTATTTTGTTCTTCAACTTTCAAACTTATTACCTCTAGGCATGATCATGCCTAATCCTTGGCATCAACATGCCAACTTCTAGGTATGAGCTTGCCTATTTCTTCTGCATGAGCATGTCTATTTTTGAACCTGGCATGCTTGTGCATCTCATCCCAGAAACTTGCATATCATGCAAACCTCTAACATGGATGCACGGGGGCCAGTGATGTTGTCACTTTTTGCATATCCTCGAGGTATTTTTCCCTAGGACTCACATGTGCCTACTCATTACATGTTGGTCATAGAGTCCTCGAGCTAACGGTGTCCTTAGGATTAAATCCTCGAGGATTAGTACGACACCTCCACGAGATTTGATTGGCAAGGTCCTTAAGATAAGTCCTTGGGAAGGTCCTCTTGATATCTAAGGCATGCAATGCTCGAGTACTTCCCTTTACTTAGGGTCCGTTTGATTGCAAAGATGAAATTTGGGTGGGAACAAAAAGAATTCTAGGGAATTGAATTGCTTAAAAATTGTTTTTCTGAGAATTGTAAATTATTGTGTTTGATTGATATAATTTTTCACATGAAAAATATTGAAATAAAAGTGTTTTATTGTGTTCTTTTGGTTTTGTTTTACATGAAAATTGTCGAATAAAGGGATAGATTTTACTAATATTGAGGATGAAATTTGTTTCCATTGCCAAAATAAATCAAGAAAATCATCTATCTTTTGGTATTCTTTTGACTTTGTTTTACATGAAAATTTCTAATTAAAGGGAAATATTTTTTTACAATAATTCTTAAAATTTGCTTCCATTGCCAAAAAAATTGAAAAAAAATAATTTTTCGCTATAGCAACCGAGAATTTGAATTCATGAAAAAGGTGGAGTTTGGCTGAAGTGGCAAAGAAAGCAAGAAAATTAATTTATGAAAAAAATTGCTATTAAACAAGTGCAAAAGTGAAAGTTGGAAGACCAATTCCTAGTTCTATGGAAAATGTTGATTAATCAAACAGGGCCTTACTTTCAAACACCTTCCTGCTTACGCTCAAAAGAAGTCCTACTCATTAAGGACTCTGATCTGACTCAAACACCTCAACCCAATATTCCTACATCTAAGAGGACTCTAGATCAACTATATTACCTAAATTATGAGTGGTCTTGTAATTGTAGTACAAATAAAATATCTCTCCTAGATAGGACTCTTCGAAATAAGGATATCCAACCGATTTAGTCATATTGGGAGTGCACTACTTAATCCTACTAGGAGTGCACTACCTACCTCTATAAATACAAATGTTTGGATCATTATTCTAGGTGCATTTTTTCATACAATTTTAGTATATGTTCTTATATAAATTTCCTGTCTGACTTAGCATCGGAGGGGCGACGAGAACACACTTCGCTGCCTTTGTTTCAGGTATTTAAAAGCTCTGTTCGTGCTCTTTCTCAGTCCTCAAACTCGGGAGATCTACCAGGTATGATTTTTGGTAGCATCAAGCACCATTGTTGGTAGTGGAAAATATAGAAAAAAAACTGGAGTGATGGCTGTCGAAGTTCTGGGTAGTCGTCGCTATAGTAGCAGTGCTCTTATTTTGAGATCGATAGTTATCCAATTTTTTGGCAATGATGGTTGTCCAGTTTTTGTTGGTAGAAAATGCTGGGAAAACCCGGAGCGATAGGTGTTGAAGTTTTGGGGTAATTGGTGGTGATTTGCAAATAGTGACGATGTTGTAAATGGTAGTGGTGGGGGTGGTCGTTGCTATGGTTGTTGGTGGGATAATGTGGGGTAGGAGTGTTTGTGACTAATTATTTGATTGATTGTAACCAATAAATTGATTAATTTGTAATTAATAAATGATATGTGATCAATTATTTGATATTGTGACTAATAAATAATATGTGATCAATAATTTGTGATTAATAAATAATATGTAACCTAAAAATTTTAGTATTGACTTATAAAATTTGTGGTCGATAAAATAAATTGTGACCTATAAATGTCTTGATTTGTGATCGATAAATAAATTGTAACTTATAAAATTTTTGATTTATAATCGTGAAATAATTTGTGATCTACAAAATTTTTTATTCGTGATCAAAAAATAATTTGTGATCAATTAATTAGATAATTTGTGAACAAATAGTGTAATATTGTGACCTTAATATATTTAATTAATTATTTCATAAATAAAATTTAATTAATATTTTATTTTGGAAGTTCTAAACCTTATCTTTTAGTTTTAAAATTGGTCATACTTAGACCCTATTTAGTTCTGATTTTTCAAGCCAAAAAAATTATTTTTTGATCCTTTTTTCTAAAATGGTGAACCGTCACTTTTGATTTCTTCACTCACAGGTGGATCAGTTTTCTGTATAACGATCAAAAAATTGATTATATGAATAACTACCAAATAGGTCCCTAATTTTTTATATATGAAATTTTCTCTTTAGAAAATGTTGACCTAATGAGCCTAAGTATGTCCATTCGGGCCCAAAGAATATCGGGCCTGGACTTTAATACGATTAAGCTCTGAGAGCCCAGTATAGATACTTGAGTCCAGTTTAATCCGTTATTGCAATTCGGGTTTTCCCTCATCTTCAAATTCGAACTAGAGTCCCATTTTCGTAAATATTTGTTGATCCATGCCCCATTTCCTAACTCAACGCACCACAAAACCCCTATATAAAACCTCCTTTCAATGTGACGCCCTTCACTCCACTCCCCATTCAAATTGAACTTACTAGCAAAACCCTCCTCCGCCATTCATTTTCCCCAAATTCACAGATTTACATTCTCGCTTTTCTACCCATATATACAGGCTCAAGATGTCACTGAGGCCCAACGCCAAGGTGGAGGTCCGCCGCAACAGGTACAAGGTGGCGGTCGATGCGGAGGAGGGACGGCGGAGGAGAGAGGACAACATGGTGGAGATACGCAAGAACCGGAGAGAGGAAAGCCTACAGAAGAAGCGTCGTGAAGGACTCCAAGGAAACCAGCAGTTCCCTATTCCTGTCGAAGCCACCACTGGCATCGATAAAAAGGTATATCGGTTCAAAACTACTTTGAAATTGATGATTTGTCGTCGATTTAAATTTTATGGATTCATTTTTGTTATATTTTTTGTGATCCGATTATTGGAATTGAATGGTTAATAAATTTTATGGGTGGTCAATGGATGCTAGGGTTTTGCAGTTTCATTGGGTACTTTATTGTAACTTTCATGGTTTATAGGATTTATGTTGCTCTTCATTTCTTTTAATGGTTTCTAATCTCAATTTGTGTGCATCGATGATTTTAATTTGTTGAGTAATTTGTTTGATGCTTGAAATGGAAATTTTATTATAAAATGAGGTAAACGTATTTTCCAGAGACACAAGACTGAGCTTCTGGTGTTGATGTATTTTGTGAGTGTAGGTGCAGTTAGAAAATTTGCCGGGAATGGTTGCCGCTGTCTGGACAGATGATTCTAGTAGACAGCTAGAGGCGACTACCCAATTTCGAAAATTGCTTTCTATAGGTTACCATTGGGTCTTCCAGAACTTGTTATAATTCAACTTTTCTTTTCCTGTCGTCTTAGTTATTGAAATTCATATTGTTCTGCAATTAATGCTCTATGCCAGAACGGAGTCCTCCAATCCAGGAGGTCATTCAAGCTGGTGTTGTTCCTCGCTTAGTTGAATTTCTCACGAGGGAAGATGTTCCACAGCTTCAGGTCTAATAATACCATCTTATTCGTCACTAATGTATTTTTTGCCAGCTCATTAGGGTTCTCCAATACTTACTGACCTCTTGTTTGTTTAAAATTTCTCTAGTTTGAAGCAGCTTGGGCCCTCACAAATATTGCTTCTGGGACATCTGAGCACACTAAGGTGGTTATTGATCATGGAGCTGTCCCAATTTTTGTGAAACTTCTTGGTTCTGCAAGTGACGATGTCCGAGAACAGGTATATATGTTATAGAC